GTGACTGCATTCAATTTCAATTTCATTCCAATTCATTTTTCACCGACAACCTCTCTTATCTATGGAATTTTAGGGTAATTCTTTTGCTCCTGAATTTCTAACTTGCTGCTGCATTCTGTTACACTCCTTCGCGCGCCATCTCTCTCGCCGCGACGCGACAATTTCGACCCTACTGCACCACACCCGTCCACGATCAGTATAAGGACACAGGAAAATGGAGTGCATTTTTGAGCGGGCGTTCACCTCCCTAGCCCAACTGTCTTGGACATTTTTTTTCAACAGAACCTTCATTGTCGTTCTTACAATATGTTTCACAGCAGTGTCATGTCATGACTTGGCAAACGAAAACCGCCTAAGAGCGCGATACTTAGGCATATTCTCATTATTCATATCTACGTACCCCTCTAAGAGCAGGAAATTCGAGCAACGACTTCTATCCTTAACTTGAGGCCCAGTTTACGATGACTCTGAGGTATCTACCTAAAGTGAAACAATGGAAGTTGGGGTAAAGCAAAGTGCAAAAGTGGTGAAGAAAGCGCGAAAATCAGGGGATACAAGAGATCAGGGCCATAAGAAAGTAGGAAATGGAGGTTGTACGAGATTATGGCGACAGAAACGGCAAGAAATGGGTATTTAGACAAGTTGTCATTCGGCGCAGCAGAGTAAAGAACTAGCTATAGAGGCCAAAAAAGGCAAAAAATGGCTTTCAACTGGGCTCATTCATACTACTGACGGCATAGTTTACATTGGGAAACTTTTCTCAAAGAAGAAAAGGAGAGTATGATTGGTTCTGTAAAAATTCGCTGCTGTCTGTTGCCGTCTGGGTGCCTCCCATATGGGCGTACTATTTTTCGGCGTCGAAGTGGTTCATTGCGAATGGATACAGAGCCTTAACAAGGCCGCCATAACACGGCTACTTTTGGGTGTGTACGTCGGCTAAATCGGTTTTGTACCTCACTACGCCCTCTCAAGGTCATTTTCCGGCACGACAATGCTCCATATAGTATGGGTGTCTCGGAAACCATTTTTATCGTGACCTGTGTCTTTAGGCACTAACTTGCTCCCATATGTTCACAAAATCCTTTTCTCAAATCTGTGAGAAAGAGAAAAATCAAAGATCTTGGGATCCCTGGGCCCCTGTGAACGAGGTTGTTAAGAAAAATTTCGGATGGGCCAAACTAATGTGGACCTTGAAGGACTTTCTTTCAATATTCCATGCAAGACCTTTACAAGAAATTACTCTTCTATAGATAAGCAGCATTTCCGGACTCAATGGGTTCTGGGACTGAATCACCAGGGGAGACGAGCAATTGGATCGGTTTGGGGTAATCGATTCGCCGCGCACGGCTGCAGCGGACCATACGCTCCGCCGTTATTAAAGTTCTAGCGTTCTTCATACAACTCAATCGATATGCGATCATTATTTTAGGCATGATTCTACTGTTAGTTATTTTGTTCCTATGTTTCTTAATTGCTGATGCATTCTGCTACTCTCCTTCGCAGGCGACGTCTCTCTCGCCGCGAAGCGACGAGTTCGTTCCTACTGCACCACACCGCTACTCTTGTAATGGCTGGGGAGTCAGTCAGCAGCTAAGTAGCTAATGAGGTACTTGTGGACCCTACTGGCATGAAGCCTTTGTCGCATAGGACACCACAGTAGGCTTAGGACCATCGAAATACGAGACTAAATGGGCTCTTAAAATTGAATGGAATGTTCTGACTTCTTGAAACCGACAGCTGATTACTGGAGCATTATTCGCTTCTTGAACAAAAGGCCATGCTATTTTCAATTCCAAACATTTTCAAGGCGTTTTCGGGACCGTTCCTTGTCAGATAACAGCACAAAATGCACGTAACAGGTTACGTGCATTTTGAGCTGTTAGACCGTAATGCGTGCAAAATGCGATGATTGTAATGCGCTTCAAAAACGTTATTACCATTTTCGCTGCTATTTCCTTTGGTCTTCTTAGAGTGCATCGCGTACAGTTCGTCTTCGGCATTTTCCATGACAAAATTCGAATGACGAATTGCAAAAACTTCGGCAATTTTTTGTACATCTCTCGTGATTATACTTCGACCAGACGTCGTCCAGTACCTGCAATCCATCATTTATTCGTCATTCCAAGTCATAATCATCAATGAGTGTGTTTTTCCAATTCCGTCAAAATCAAAAATAATGGAAATTCCCTCTCTTCTGAAAAATCGTTTGAAAACACCAAGGCGGTGATCTCTCGGGGCAACTCTCAAATCCATTTCTCGTGTCGTCTGCTCCCTCTCAGCGGGCGCTCTTTCTACGTCTCTGCTTATGAAAGCTAGAGCCCAGACATAAGAGCAGCTATAATGGCTGCTCACACTTTCCTATATCAATCACCAGCATTAAATGGCTTCACTTTGAAGTTTTAAAGCTTAGGATATAGAGTTTTTGTTTACAGTCAGAACTAAACCGCTACAACTTTCTTCCCATCAGGCTTGGTGCTGATCAAGGGAAACAACTCTTCACCAACAAGTCATTGATGCTAGAAAAAGAGAGTAACCCTATTCACATGGGAGTCAGTGATTTTGAAACCTCAACGTTTACTTCCTTCTGATTACATCTTTGCCAGCTGATGCCCTGAAACGAGCACAAGAACAGGAGGCATCCGAATCAGACCTCCACNATGACTTGTTCGATGCCCTTCCAGTGAGGACGGACCTCTGGGCCACTTGGTCGTGACAGGGGTAAAGAGCGGCATTAGTGGCGCCTGATTTGACAAATCGATGATCATAAGGAAAATAGGTGATGCAGGTGATACTATAGGGATCAAGGACTGATTACTCTGGATTACCTCTGTAACCAACAGGTACCCTTTCACTAACTGCTGAGCGATAAATATTTAATCCGTAGAATAAGTATCACTCAGTGGGAATTGGTGAGGGCCTTCCAGTTTTTGAAGGAACCCATAACGTTCTGGTCGCTCACTAAGGAAGCCATCACCTGGCTCAGCCAAAGTTAGTGAATACCAGTAGCTTCACCATTGGAGATTACATCGCTAACTTCATTCATCACATCTTCCAATCGCTGTTACTGGTAACACCTATAGAACTGTCCTGACAAATGATGAATGAAGTGTCAAGTGAATCCTGTTCTCTCAAGTTTCAAAGCTCGCACTAGTATGAAGTACAGCTGTGGCTTGTTACTCCTTTGAGAACAAGAAACCTGCATACTGGTAGTGAACCCAAATAGTTTGAACTTACGTGTTCTGCCTCCTCAAATAAACCTGTTTCAGACGAAATCTTGCTCGAGTGAAGGCCATTCCATACAAAATGTAGTTTTCATTAAGTGGTACGCAAGAAAACTTCATCATACTCATCCATCCGTACAAACCTTTGTCGTACTGAAAAAGAAATACAATATCTAATGAAGTAATCCATAATGTGGTTGCAGAGTAGCCAACAGTTTTCAGTAACAAATATACTTGATAGGAAGGCTAAAAATAGTGAAGCTTAATCCCCAGACGTCATCAATCCCAGATTGAGACGTTCATCCCCACGCATTTCACCCCCCACGCAATACTGAGATTTTGATGAGCATTAAACCTATAAAATGACTTTGGGGGCCAGTCTCTATAAGCCGCTATTATTCGTTCTCTAAGTAAGTCTAAGTAGTTACTATTTTTAGTTTTGACTTGATGTTTTGTTTACTGCTGTCATTTCGCCGCAGTACGCGATGCGAGAGTCTCACAAAGTTGGCAATTTAAAAAAAAACTTCAGTCTCGGACGGGACTCGAACTCGTGCTTGTGCTAGAAGTTAAGTATTGTCCATAAATCGTCAACCGTCTGAGACTATTTTTGGCTTTTTACTACTTTTTTATTTATAGAATAAAACTAGTTGCTCCTGAAATCTGTGCCAAGTAAGTAGAGATAAGGAGAGATTAGAAGGGGTAAGCGCGCATTGGCGACATCAGGGTACGACCGGTTTTGTGTAGTCGATCCGCCGCACGCGATTGTCGCGGATCATTTGCCTCGTTATAGCAGTTCTAGCGTTCTTCATACAGCTCAATCGCCATACGATTATTACTTTAGGCATGATTCTGCTGTTAGTTCTTTTGTTTCTGAATTTCTTACTTGCCGCTGCATTCTGCTACATTCACTTCGCGCGCGGAGTCTCCCTCGCCGCGACGCGACAACTTCGTTCCTACTGCACCACACTCGCGACATCAGGATCTTCAGTTTCAAAAGCATAAGTTAGTGGAAGGGTGAGAGGACTGGCCCTGTAAAGGTAACCAGTACTGGTACTCCTAATCCTCGTGCTCTTTTCAGAGTATTTATTTAACGCCGAACCAGTTGCTCTACCTTCAACTTGTCAATGAAGGTAATACTGCCTCGTATTTTATTTGTAATGCAGGCATTGTTGAAGTAAACGACTGTGTACGATACTGCAACGAAAGTAACTGGTAGCAGTAACTCAATAGTCCAACCAGCGGCAGTAACTCAATTTACTTAGAGCTAATTTTAATTGCAGAAATAATCAGTGACGTCCTCACAGGCATGACTAGAAGAACATTATTTTTGGACGTACACCTTTACTGCTTTGTTATCACAAAAACGTCATAAAAAATCATATTTTTTTATTGGCCATTATATATTTGCTACTAAAAATAGAACGAACAACGTGGAATAGTTCAAAGAAAACGGACCTTGAACTCGTTACTGGAAACGGAGCCGAATAACAGTTGTATACAGTTGACAAGCTCATCCTTGATATGTTGTAGGGGTAGCCATGGCTTATTTTTCACATCCCCCAAATGTTCTTCAAGTTTCATAGTGGTGTAGTTCCGTAATTGTTCGATTGGAATTCTGGAACGTTGTCATTTCCTTCTTACAATTAGTCGGTCGATCGGTCGCTAGGAACAACATGATCTGTACACGTAATCAAGACCAGACTATTTGCATTACTGTACTGTACTAGTTAGACATCACTTGGCTGTCGTATTGTGATGATACGTGCCAGTACACAGACATCAGAAAACGACGTCGTGCACTTTGGATAGGATGAGGCCCCCGACGACGAAGTAGTCATCGTCCGTTTGCCCGTGAGAAACTGTCTGTACGATAGTAACATCAGAGTACATACGTGAGTAATGAAACGGTTATTATTCTTTAGGAGCCAAGTTTTTCGTAGCCATACTTGTACGTGAATAAAGTAAGTAACCGATGGAATAAGGTAACCCACTTGCCAACATGAAAGAATACATCGCTGCTGGTGTCCTGGAATGGGACCATCTTCTCCGAGCTGTTGTCCGAGCATCGAAGGAAGTTCGTGTAGTTCAATTCGGTTTTTAAAAGTTTTACTAAAAAGTACAGATGAATAATTTGTATGCATAAAGTGCAAATCTGGTCTATTGCCTACCACGTAATGCATGCTCAGCTGAACGCTTTGAAGCCAAAATGAAATACGATGACGAAATGAATTGGACCAAGTAAAGCCCCAAATTTGTCAGCTTCATCCTGCACCACCTGCACACTGCGCTGCATTACAGATGGTGAAGGGCCATTTATAGGCTTGAACATTCTGAATCAGCAGAAATCCTTCGACAAACAAAAATACGCCTTGACCATACGGCAATCTAAAAATGGAACGCCCCAATGTTGCATAGCGACAGGTTCTGCAACGGGATTAGTGGCGTTTCTCACGGAAAACTATTCAGAAATTGGACAAATAAGGGCATTCAGGGGAGGAGAGGGAAGACAGTGACTTATTTTCAAAAGAAATTTGTTATAAAAGTAATTTTTCAAACGTTTGATAGACCATGATATGATAATGATTAAGAGAAATGGTTCTGGTGAGCTGCTACTCTATCAAGCATTACTCACATTACTAGTAAAACGATAAGTTAAAGTTTTGAATGCGAACAAGTAGAAGAGTTATTTTAAATATAAAATTATGGAAACGAGTTGTCGAGAAAAACATCGCCAACGGACTGCTCCTTTATTGAAAGACTGTGATTGTTGATCCGCACAGCCACAATACTCAAGGGAAAAATCCTTCTACTGATTGGCTTAAAAAAGTACTTTCTCATACTACTTTGCCATACTAGTTTTTCATAGTAAAATAGCATAATTCACTTGACGTTCCAAACAAATTTTCGTCGTCAAGGTGCCGAAAATTGTTCCAGGCACTTGATCTGTGGCCTACCTATCATGCGCCCACTGGGCCATTTGCAACCTCCATGAAAACCAAGAAACTATAGTGTAGGTTATTATGTAAAACGCTCATGTACTAACAAGTATGGTAATATATTAGCTTTAATAATACATTAACAACCTTATTGTTGATTATTTGGGTTGTTACCTATTCAAATGGCGAACTTTCAATGCTTCAATGAGGATAAACGTGGTCCCTAGGTCACCATTCACCTAGGGTCTACGTTTATCCTCATTAAAATTCCTTGGTGAGTGAAACTCCTGGTAGGTACCCGACAGGGTATCTTAGGCGTGGTTCCTGATATCAGGTAAGGTCAGTTCTGTGATACCTGGTCTAGCACTGGGAATGCTATTCACGTGCCCCCATTATACCTACGAATTGTAAAGTATCACTCGTAAGGCACTCTTAGAACATAGGCACTACCTAAACTGACTAGTTCCTGGCACCTATGGTAACCACTGCCATCATTGCCTGTCTACGTTGAAGTTTCCTTTGATAATGATCTGAGGACGGTTCGAGTACTGGGCAGCGAAGTCCTTTTACTTTGCCTTCATGACTAATTGTGAGACTCAAAAGGGCTTTGAGAAGGATAAAGGGGTGTTCATAGGTTCCCAAGTTCGACTACCCCTTTCCCCGTTCTCGAATCTTCGCTTACACCCTGTATGGGTAATTACTGTTACAAATGTCTGCACCCTGTCTATCATATAATAGTTGGCTGCTTAATGGCACTTAATTTCGCTTCCGATTGGAAATATATGCATGCAAAGATTGACGGCGCGGCGCAAGCATTTTTTGAAACCTCGTTTCTAAAGGACACACGCTTGGTTGTTCTTTGTAGGCCAAACGGCGAACAAGGGCGAGATGGGGGAGACGTAGAGAGGCAGATAATGGTGTGAGTGAAGAGGGTGCCGCGTGAGAGGCGGTACGCTAAGAGAAAAAGAGGTCCGAGAAGGTGGAGCTTGGACGAGGGACAGATAGTGGGGTGGGAGGCAGCAGGTGGTTGAAGGGAGTCGGGGTGGCGAGATAGCAATGGGTGGTGGCGGATAGAAGAGACAGGGCGGGCTTGGCCCCCTGCCAACGAGAAGCGGGCGGTCGCGAGGCGGTCGGTCTGGTGCGGGGCAGCAGCAGCCGTTTTGTGCCCCTCATTCTGTGCGGTGGAGAGGGTATGCTGGCGCCGATCATCACCAAGGACATGAAGCTGTTTCCGACTCGACCGTTACCGGCCGGAATCAAGAACGTGCGCAGCCGTGCACAAAGCCTTGACCAATTCAATCAGGTGCAGAACAGTGGCAGTGCACGTGGTCGAATTGTGCCGGTGAAACCACGAAGTTCACAATCCACCGGCAATTTACCGGCTGCTGCAGCGGCTACTACTGCTACAACGGTAAACGGTAATGGTAGTAGTAGTGCTGCTGCTACAGCATCGGTGTCGTCATTCACGTCGTCACGCAGCCCCCCAAAAGGGTCCATCCACCGCAAGACCACGTTGACTGCCATTCAAGAAGGAGTTGAAATGGGTCACAGCCATCATGTTCATCGCGTTCGACATACGGAAAGGTGATACACTATCTATCTATCCACATAATTCTAGTTCTCTGCTTTCATCATTGTTGTTTGTTTTCTGTATTCACAGACAGAGCCTGATCCCGGTGGGTCGTACGCTTCACTTTTTATATATTCACTTCTATATGCTCTTGTGTACGTGTTTTTTTTAATGATTAATCTTGATAATTGTTGCGATAGCACTTCCGTTCACCATAGCTAATGAGTCATATTTTAGCCGATCCGAAAGCAAGCAGCTGCCTTCGGATGTCCCACGAAGGAACTCGAAGAAATCTCGCAGCAAACAGACGATGACGGCCGACGAGAATGTGACGAAAAACGGTCACTGCGAGAACCGACGTGCGAGCAGCGGTCGTGGTGGTGATGGTAATGGTGGTGGCGGAGATGCCCTGGTCGAGAAAAAAGAGAAGAAGGGTGTCGTAAAATGGCTAACATCGGCTTTTCGCAAATCCAAGGACAAAGACTCGTCGGATAATTCCAGTTGCAATTCTAGCTAGGTGTGGCTTGATTTACTTGGTTTTTCTCTTATCTCTCAGACATTTTTTTCACTTCTTTTCATTATCAGTTACTGTTTACACTTTTTATTTATCAGTGCTTCATTTTTGTTCATTCTCGTGTTGCCCAGCGCGAATGTTTTGGTGTTGGAATTGCTTACCCATTATTCCATGATGGTCGATGCTTTCATTGCTATCCCCAGCCAGCAGGGGGGTCGAGGAGGGGTTTAGGTGATATGCACTTACAGTGCTTGTCACGCTCTCCCATATGACGTCCTTGGTCTTGCTTCTTTCCATGGCTGAGCACCCAGTCCACCGAATGCATTGTCGATCACCTATAATGGGTTTTGGCTTATACATAATGTAAATATTACAGAAAATATCTGAATTAGCGTTTTTTTCCTCGTTGGGTGCATGTGCAACGTTTGATTTTTGGCGTCTTGAACGCTTTGGATTAGCTCTTCATCCAGCTTATGATGATTGAACTTTGCAGTTTCGCTCTTGTGTGTGCCCTGCCCCTGCCCCATCCCCGGCAAGTGTTCTTTGTGCACTTCACGTTCCAATCAATGTGAGTTTTCTTTTTTTTTTTAAATGAGTTTGTTCTTGACCTAACACCATATGTGTCCATGCCTAGATGCCGCTACTACTTTCTCTTCTAGTTCTCAATGAACTCTAGTAGAACTTCAACTTGAGTTCGACCTTCCCAAAGCGATCTGGGCTTTTGTGCCTTCTTTGTTATATATTGCTATCATTTAATGATGTTTCTATTGTCATAGTGCACTTGATCCTTTTCAGATTTGCTCTATTCCACTCGCTGTGATTACATCATCTCACGGTCGTGTTTTCCTATTTACACAGCTTTATCATGTGATATACATATACTTTGAGTGTGTGTATGTGATGTGTATGTGTGTAAGCGATGTACGTACATACGTTGTAGCTATTCACACAATGTTTATGCTTTCTTGTTGTTTCCTTTTTTTCCTGCATTTTTCATTCTCTTCTCATTCCTCCTCCCTCTTTCGCCCCGCTTCATCTCCCACATCCAACCACCACCACCACCATCTCTCATCACGTTCATATGCATCAAAATTTGATTTCTTTTTTCTTCTCTTTGGTCTCGTTTTCACGACGACGTTCCCCTTGTTGCACTGACTTCAAGTGAACACACACATAGTTCTTCATTTATTCATATATAACTATATTGTACATAGATTTACATATGCGAAGAATTTGTATTAGCCATAGAAATTACCATTGAGGGATGAAATTTCGTCCGCGGGTCATTATTATACTGCTTTGCTCATATACGCGTTTATTGTCAAGTCTTCTGTGATCGGGAGTAGTCCATGATGATATCAGATCGTGTTGAGGTCGTCGTCATTACGTTGTGGCAACTCTGTCGGTATTTCTTTTGTGCATTACGTATAAGGGCCGACAGTAGGGGGCACAGAATGCCCATCATTCCGCCCGTGATGGCAAAATCAACACGTTCTCTTTATGGGCTACAAGTCGATTCAATATGATTCCCATGAAAATGCATGTTGTTCAGCGAGAACCACAATTTCAAGCTGTTCATCATTGTATTTTCTTTTGGTACCCCAAATGGGAGCAGCGCGTACGAGTAAATCACGAGTTGTTGATAAGAATGCGGTAATTTATCGGTGATCCATATTGTATCATTTGTTTTTTTATCGTTCTTCTAATAAATAAATAAATAAATATA